GAAAATGACAGATGGTACTGCGAAACTATGGGGGGGAGGGGGATGGGATTAACAGTAGCAAATATCTGTCGGGGGATGGGAAAACACTTCTTATCTACAGGGTGCCTGAATGAAGCGTCATTGTACACCTAACCCTTAACTGTACCCCACAAAACCATAATAAAAAATACTGATTAATGAAAAAAAAAAAAAGAGATATTTATCTTTCTTTTTTGACTGCCTTCAAAATCTTATCTTCGTCATGAATGTTCTAAAATTTTAATGTAACAAATTACATGGGATTCATTCAAGTTCTTGAAACAGGTTTTGTTGCTTCCAGAAAATTTTCAGCTAATATCATCCCCTTATAGTTTTTCCTAATTTAGTTAAAATTTCTTTATATATATAAATAAATGGAAAATTCTGACAAAATACTATGTATATTCCAAAATACCAGAAACGTCCAGTTTTTCCTCCCTCTCTAGTTTCTCTTTTATATCACACATTTAATTTTCTGTGTTGTTTTAGGTATTTTTTTCAGATATGTCTTTAATATAAATAACAGTCTCTTCATGAGCATCTAATGTGCTGATTTATTCATTTTCTTTTAATCATTACATGACAAATTTAAATATCACATTTAATGCTTTTGTTAAAGCTATCTGATGATTCCTGACAGTCTTTTGTTGTTTTTGTCCATGTTTCAATTCCTTCTTGTATTCATTTGAGTTTAACTCTTCTAACTTTCATTTCTTACAATATCAAAAGTATATTATTATAGTCACATCTTCAGAATGCCCATTTGAGCCTTCTCCCTTTCCCTAACTGCTTTTGGCTTTAATATTCTTAATAGCGAGGGTATATTTGTGACATCAATCCATGGAATCCAGAGAGTTCTAGATTGAGAGTGCGGAACATCAAGACTCTGAATTTTTTGCAAGTATTTCCAGTCTGACTCTCTAATGTATGGACCAAGAACTGTCTGCTGAACTCTGGGCTGCCAAATACACCCATGGTTTATATTCCTCATATAGGAATGCATTCTCAGGACATTCAAAATGCAGACTCTAGAATAGAATTCTGATTCTCTAATCTTTTAATTATATTTACTCCATAAACTAGATCCCATGAACTGTTGTAGTCGTATTTTTCCTGTTCTTCCATGAAAAAATTATATATATACAGAATAAAGTATGTAAAATTAAAAATGAATAATATGTATCTTTACTTTTGATATTTTCACTGTATTGTCCAATTCTAAATCCACTGAAAGTGTAAATATCATATTAAGTGTTCTTATTGCAATAATTATATTTTGAGATTTTACACTCATTCAGGCAAAAGAACATGCCATATTTTATATTAGACATTTCCATACCTACTGACAAACTGCCTTGTACTAATGAATGTCCCCATGCTTCCTCAACAAGTGAATGGTCTTTTACAAACCCAGAGCAGACCATCTCAGGCACAAAGAGACTCATGAATCCTCAAATGTTCTTGTTCCTAGACTGGGTAACTGAGACTGAAATGTGAAAAGCAAAGTCCTAGCAAGAAAGATTTATCTAACACTGGTTTGTTTAAAATAATTATGGAGAAAACTTATTCAATTTGTTTATTAGCTCCAACTTACTCAAACAATATTATTTTATTTAAATTAAAGTAATCTGTTCTTTAAATAGATTAAGAAGTCACATCACTCATGAATTAAACCGAATCAGAAGACAGACCTCTTTGCTAGCAAAACCAAGTTCTAGAGATTAGTCAATGTGGTCAAGAAAGAAGGCTGTAATGTGAAATATGGGTCCTGTTGAAAATTTCTATAGTATGCGATATCCTGTGTACTCAGCTAATTTGGGGGAATAATTTTCAGGCTTGTTTTACTATCATCTGAATGTGGTCAGTAAAAGGATCTTCCTGGGAAATTGTCCTTCAATTTACTCAGACCTGTCTTGAACCCTTTATCCCTCTCTGCTCTTCTGTTTGGGCCCAGGCCCAGGTCTACACAGGTACAACATTGTGCCAATAGATTGCAATACTGTATTGTCCAATTATAAATCCACTGAAAGTGTAAATACCATCAAAGGGAGTAGGTAGCCAAAGAGTGAAAAAAAAGGAAAAAGGAAATATGTATAAATCAGAAACTGAATAAATTACTTTGAATATGCAAAACAAAATGCAGACCTTAAAACTGTCAAATGCAAGAAACATACTTTTTTCCATTATTTGAAAGTTTCCTTACCTTTTCTTTAATTTTCGTTGTATATTATTTTCCATTTGATGTGATGCAATATCTCATACAAAGTAAGAGACTAGAAAGATTAATTGAACAAAAGAATAAAATAAATGAAGCAATAACAATTATTCCTGTCTTTTCCCTCATGGTGGATTGCATCAGGTAGAGAAAGACTGAACTTCCCCTAAATAACATCCCATTCCCTTTGCTGTGCAGCTAGGAAACCTCCCTCCAATCCCAGCCTCCATGAAGACATCACATGGATTTGCCCATATAAAGGATACAGTGAAGAAATTTGCACTTCTCTTTTTTGTCACAATGAAGAATAAATGGACATGCTTTGCCTGCAAGTCGTGTGTTCCTTGGACTTATCAGGAAGCTGTTATGATCCCATATGAAGCATGACCTTGCCATCCCACCAATAGAGAACTGGGAAGGGAAAAACTGATGAGGGGACAGAGGTAAGGATAATGGGTGTTGGAAGAACCGACTTTAGCAAGTTTTAAAATGTGAAAACCCAGGTCAGCTGTTTTCCCACAGAAATATAAGCAGGTACAATAATCCTTACCATGCATGACTTCAGTGAGCATTCAAACAGGTCAATTAAAGAAGCAGGGAAGAGTGTCTGTCAGCCCACCTGGGCCTGAGAACTTGTGACAGTCCCTCACTCTCACTTCCTGAGGGGGGGCAGGAATGTTATTGCACAGAAGGCTGATGATCACACAGGGCTGTGCTGAGCTGCTGGCACAGAAATACAGGGCAGAGTCCTCCAACTCCAAGGAGCTCAGGTTGAGTTCAGAGCGATAGTCACGGAACTGCTGTGCAGAGAATCGATCAGGGAAGTTTCCTTTCTCTCTCTCTTTCCCATTATAAAATTGAATGAGGAACTGGAGGGCCTGGCCCAGGCTCTGTTGGTACCAATACACATAGAGGTGTCCAGACATAGGGTAGCATCTCAGTGTCACTCGTTGTCCCTTTGCTTTGATCTGGTGTTTTGGTCTTTGTGTGACTCCAGAACCCACGAGGCCTATGTGTTAGAAGACAGAAGTTAAGGGGTACAGCACAGGAGGAAGCCTCCTGCGGCAGACATCCTGGACCTCATGCATTTCAGGGATGGGACATGGAGATAAGAGACTTTCAAGCTGTCCCAGGACTCACCAGCTCCTAGGAGACAAAGGGCCACACAGCAGAGGAGCCTGGATCCCATGGCTACACCAAGACTCTAAGGCATCTCCTAGCTCAGGGCAGGGTCTCTGTAGGAAGCATTCTGAAGTCCTCAGCATCCATCTCTCTAATAGGAGCACGCACCTGTGATGTCACTGCACTGACGTTACTCTCCCTGCATGTCAGATCCCAGGCTTTGCTATTCCATGAGCCATTCCTGTCTTCCACAGTCCCTAAAAAAAGTGGGGAAGGTGGAGCACAGTACCTGGTGCCCATAATATACCCTGTTTTTATCTGTCTACCCTGCTCTTGCCCTAACCCGGATTCAACTGCCCTAATAACCCCAGCCCCTTCACTCTCCTCTGCCCATGCAGAGGCAGAGAAAGTCCCTACTTGGTGCCAATGGAGGCCTCTGGCATCTCTATCCGGCCCTGGCAGCGAGGAGCCTGTGTTTACCTTCACATATTCAAGACCCACCCAGGAAACTCCAACTGCCCTCACAACTCCAGTATGCTTCCAGGCTGTCCTCTCCTGGCCACCCTCTCACCCTGCCTCAGGGATCCCTGCAGCATTGTGGAGTCACAGCACCTCCAAGTGGCCAAGGGCCTACATTCTGATGAATTCACACCTGACCTGATGAGCTCCAGATCATCCATTGCAGGGACAGAAATGCTCTGATCACCATCCCTACAACCCCTACCCTCTCTAGATTTCCAAGAAGGTGGACCTCCAAATCTCCCCAAGCCAGTAGAGACAAAAGGACCCATAAGCCAGCATTTTTGTTAGATTACAAAATAAATAATTGTTACATCATTGCAATTAGTGTACTAAGATGGAAGAGAGGAGCCAGATAATGCAGGCCATAAAATTTAACAATGTGACAATGTCAAGCAGATTCATCCAGAATGCACTGTATTCCATAACTCTTTTTGATTAACCTGTCCCATATCTTTTTGTAGTTTATTTCAATTTATTTTATTTATTTATTTATTTATTTATTTATTTACTTATTGATTGATTGATTGATTGATTGATTGAATTGGAGTCTCACTCTGTCGCCCAGACTGGAGTGCAGTGGCCGCTCCCGGCCACCGCAGCCTCGACCTGCTGGGCTCCGGCGATCCTTCCGCCTCAGCCTTCCAGGTAGCCCGAATTACAGGCGCGTGCTACCACGCCCGGCTAATTTTTTGATTTATTGTAGAGATGAGGTCTCACTGCCCACGGGCTCAGGCAATCCACTCACCTCAGCCTCCCAAAGGCGCGGGATTGCAGGCTGAGCCACCGAGCCCGGCTATTTTTATTTTTTTAATGATTTTTTTTTCTAGAGATGAGATCTCGCTATGTTGTCTAGGCTGATTTTGAACTTCGGGGCTCAAACAATCCTCCTGCGTTGGCCTCCCAAAGTGCTAGGATTGCAGGCATGAATCACTGCGCCCAACCCATAGTTTAATATTAGTTTATTTAAACTAGTTATTAGCAAATTTTAGATAGTGTATTTAATAATTTTTAGATTTTACAGATTTATTTCTGAATTTATAAAATCTTGAAATAAACAACCCTGTCAGCTATAACTAAGGCAGAAACAGTTGGGTCTGACATGTGCAATCACCATCCAGCAGTGCTGATGCACTCTAAGGGAATAGCTAGTAGTTAATAATGTTCATCATATTTATAATAGTTGATGATTAATAATATTCCAGGGCTCTGTATAAGTGGGAATGCATTTATTCATTTCACAGCACCAAAGAGTATCAATTGCACCTTTGACTTTTCCTATTAAAGTAAATGAAGGAGAGTGATATAGAGTTCAGTGAGGGGACCATCAGGGTAGAAAGTGAGGACGAAGACAGGCGTGAGCCAGGGCTTGACAGGTGAGCAGGGTCTGGTACTGTCAGGAGAAGGAAGGTCCTTCCAGGCCATAGAAATAGCACAGATTCAGAGGATGTAAAAGGCTACTGAGTTTTCGGAAATGTTTGAAGAGCTGTTTGGTCACAGAAGAGAACTGGATCTGGGTGGTGAGTGTGAGAAAGGGATCTCAGGAAAGTAGAGTTTATCTTGGGGAAAACTGGACAACCTTTGCCTATCTATCATTAGGGGCAAATTATGTCCTCTGTTTTGGGAGTTGGGGCCAGAATACAAAACAGAAAACTTCAGACCCAAGTACAGCGTTGTTCCACCGGGCAGCTGGTTGCTTGGTGACAACCTATCTGGGACCAGCCCCAGGGAGATGCTGGTTCCTATAAGCCTTGCTTTGTATTTTCTAGGTGTTAATCAGAACATTATTTTGGTCATCTAGTAGCTCTTTCTCTATTTTCAACAATCTCTAATCATGTTCTCTCTCCTCAAATATCCCCAAATTTCAAATTATTCCTCCTATATTATATAGAACAATCCCCTATGGTTCTACCTTCTACACTAAATATTGTCAATCTTGATCCCCAAATGACATTTTCTTTGCCAAAAAGAAGTTGCAAGCTACTCCACCCCTATTGTATGCAGTGTCAAGCAAAGAAGGTCACTTTGGGATGAACCTACTTAATTCGCACCATACTCTGAACACATCCTTTTGGCCTTTTCTCCCCAGCGTGAATGCCAGAAAAGCCCCAGGCTGCAGATGTCAGCACATTTGGACATTGTTTTCCTTTCCCCTGCAGGGGCAGTGAGGTTTGCTTACAGAAAGTTGGTGACTCTACAGGGCTATGCCAGCTGCTAGCACAAAGGTACAGGGCCGAGTACCCTGGCACTAAGCTGCTCAAGTCTGCTCAGAGTGATAGCCAAGTAACTGGTGAGCTGAGAATTCATCAGGGAAGTTTCCTTTTGGTCTCTGCAACTCACTGAAATATTCAAAGAGGAACTGTATCCCCTGACCCAGGGTGTGTTGGTACTAGGACACACTGCTGTGCCCAGAGATAAGGGAACATTTCAGTGTCACTTGCTGCCCTCTTATTTTGATCAGGTTCCTTGGATTTTGGGTGACTCTAGCCTCTCCAGGGTCTGTGGAAAAAGCAAATGGAGAATGTGCACAGGGACACTTGGTGGGGTCTCTGCAAGGTGAAAAGGACAATTCAGGGGTAGGCAAGTTCAGAATAAGGATGCTGCCCTGTTCATAGGACTCACCTGCTCCCAGGAGACAAAGTAGCACCCCTTGGAGCAGCCTGGAGCCCATGGCCAGTGAGCAGGCAGCACTGCGTCTGTGCTCTGAGCTTGGTTTTTGGTTTTCGTGGGGAAAGAGCTGAGATCTGGGTTTCCTCTTCCTGATGGGAGGGATATCCGGTGAGTTCACTGGTCTGTGGTCATCCCCATGCAGGCTTCCCCGGGTCTAGTGCTCCCACACACTGGACTCCTTCCGTGTCCTGCAGAGCAGAAGGCCTGAGTGAGGGCAGAAGCTTCTAATGAAACAGTTGCTTATCTGCTTGTGCTTCCCCCTCTCATGCCTTTCCCTACCTACTGCTGAAGTTCTCTATGCTGGAGTTCATACACTAGCCCCTCAGCTGAGAGAGGGGTGTCTGGCTGAAACCCTCCTGTTCCAGCTCTTCCCAGCTGTCCTCACATCATCTCTCTGACACTGGATTCACATGAAGTTTTTGTTGAATTACGAGTTCCTCTCCTGAGTGGCTAGATTCACCAAGATTTAGTTCATTATCAGGTTCAAAGCAGACTTGGGTTATCTGTAAATTATTATGAGTATAGATTCCCCAGAATTAATTCTAAGACTTTGTCAACCCACAGCACAGACCTAGTCAGTTTGGGATCTGCCATCCTCAAGGCCATCCTGTGTTTCATGCTCTGGGTAGTTTGTGTTTCTCCCTCTACATGCACCCTGTCTTCAGAGGCTGACCCCAGTGGATGACATAAGCTGGCTCCTTTTTCCTCTAACTCCAGTGAGCTTGCCTTCTGGAAGACAATAGGAGGAGGGCAGAGGGAGGTAGGGTAACCAATTTTTCTGCCAAAGTTGATTAGAAGGTACTATTAAATAAAGTAAAAGGCACTCAGTGAAGAGAAGACAGACTTGGTGTACTTAAAAAAAACCTATCTAGACTACAAAAATATCAATACATATTAATAATATAAGAACAAATAAACAATTTTTAATGGACAAATTAAAACAGGCTGTTTTTAAAATAAGATAAGAATTACTTAATTAACACATAAAAGAGTAAATATTGCTACATCTAAGGAAATGCAAATGAGTTACTACTACAGACCTAATAGAATGACTGGCAATAAAAAGACAGAATTCCATATGTTGGCGAGATTATAGAGCCAGAGAGACACCAACCCCTCATATCATTTACTAGGACACCACCTTCTTTGAAAAATACTTTAAAATGCATCTACCTTATCAATCAGAAATTTCACTCATAAGTCTATACCTAAAAAATTGTATTTATACAAAAAATTGCATAATAATGTGTTCAGGGCAATTTTTTCATAGGATCTGAAGATAAGAATCACTCATATATTCACAGGAAAATAGATACGAAGCTGTAGTCTATTCATACAAAGGAATACTACCAGTCATAAGAAAGAATGAACTATTGGTACAATATGCATACACTGCAAAAATATTAATTTTGGAGGAAAATGAGTCAATAAAAAGTAGTATATGATTCTATTTATGTCAAAAATTAAGAATGGATAAAACTCATTGCTACTGATGGAATTAAAAAAAATGATTACCTCTGGGAGATAAATTGATTAGAAAGGAGCATGAAAAAGTATTCTTAAGTGATACCAATGTTTTTTATCATAATTTTGGTTATGGCTGCACTGGTCTATATATTTTTCAAAGTGTCCCAATATATCCTTGTATTTAGTCGAATCTTTTACTCTCTATCAATTATACCTGAAAAAAGTATTGCTAAATTGGCATAAATAAACTGCATACATGGAAGGAGTCATATAAATAGATGCTTGTATTCCATACAGTTCATTTCAGAAATGAATCACACAAAAATAAGAAGATACAGACAACTCACATGTCTACATAAAATATGGAGAAAGTGAGAAGTGCTCAGTGACTAAATATCCACCACTGAAATT